ATGACATGCAATAAACAATGAGTAGTTCCGCCTACGTAAACTCTAGTGAAACGAGTATACTTATAAATATATAAATATACTCGTTTCACTAGAGTTTACGTAGGCGGAACTACTCATTGTTTTATTGCATGTCATTATAGTTGTAATTGTAAACCACTGTCCTTGTAGTTACACCCGTAGAATAGTTTATATGATTTAATATTACTTTACCTGTCGAAGACTGCAGACTGGCAGTCGAAAGCTCGTGTTTTAAATAAAAATTTACGATCAGAGAACGTTTCAGAAACTTTATCATGAATCCTGGTCGCGCATCTAGCATTTTTAATATCGAGTTTATTTATTCCAAAGCGCAGAGATTTAGCCGCCATCAAAAACGAATATTATCAGCATGTATTAGGATAGTCACCGAGCAATGGTTTTTGTTATGTTTACAGATACTATCAACTTTCATATCTGTTACGTTGTTTTTTTTTCAGCTGAGATTGATGGTTTGTATTTTGTTGCTAACAAATTTAAGTTTTCATTTTAGCAGGAGAAAATTCCGACAACAACAATGATAACGAAAACGTTAAAACTGATGATAGTATACCGTCGAATATTCAACAAGGGGAAGGTATTTGTATTTGTGTATTAAATAGAGATCCATAGTTTGTTTTGATATGGTCTGTAATAATCTGACGTCATGTACTTATGTGACGTCACTTGTATATAGCTAGCATTCCATGGATATTAAATTTATTTTAGATAATTGGTTTTAATTAGTTTAAGTTACTTCATATAGACAATGCCCGACGAACCTCCAATCAAAACAAGGGAAGGATGGAATAACCTGACGTCATGTACTTATGTGACGTCACTTGTATATAGCTAGCATTCCATGGATATTAAATTATTATTGTGATAACCACTCAAAGAGTGTGCTTCGTATTATCATTCTAATTATTTATATATATTAATTTAAACAAATATATTTACTAAAACTACAAAATAATCTAATAAATGAACCACGGAAGTTGTTTTTATAATAGCAAATCCAAACAACAGTTTGGAAGGAATGTCTTTCTCATGTTTATCTAAAGAGTTCCACCATTCAATCGCCCTAAATCTAAATGATCTGGCAAAAAAAGTTGTTCTCAAAACTCTTAAAATTAGGTTTCTTCACCTCTTTATAGGCATTTCGAATTTTTAAAGGCTAAAAATATTGATTAACTGGTTCACCAGAGTTTATTATTTCACGTGTAACAAGCAAGGTTCTAATATTATATATCATCTGCTTCAGTTACCGATAGTAATATTGAAGACGTCTCGAATGACAAGGAAAAGTCCATCATGCCAACATCACATGAAAGTAAGTGTAAGGAAAAAGAAACTGGAAGTGCAGAAAACGAACAGGACACTTCACAAAACAATCCTACTAAAGAACGTTTCGATAATCACGACAACGAGAAAAACCAAGCTATAGCTATAGCTGGGGATGATATTAAGCCTGCTGGTGACAATCTTCGAGACAGCCAGAACGAAGACAGTAATCTACAGACAGAAGATGACCCGAATAAAAAGAGTAAATCCACAACACCAACATCACGTGACGATGAGTGCCAGAAACAGCAGACTGAGATTATGGACGTGGACGACGGCCAATTCTCAAGAAGCGTTACTCAGAATGAAGGTGAAGAAGACCTTTCATCAAATAACTCGGAAGGAAAAGATTTAAATCGTGATGATGGTGAGACTGGCCCAGCTAAAACTGACAATGGTACAGCATTTGCTGATGAGGGCTTACGAGACGAACAATACAGACAGTCAGATATTTCAGAAGAAGAAAATACCGATAGTAATCTTGAAAACAAACAGGACCCTTCATCGAATAACTCAGGAGAAGATTTAAACAATGACCACGACAAAGCCCAAGTTCAAACTGCCAGTGGTACAACATTTGCAAGTGAGGGTTCACGAGACGAACAAATTACAGGAGATGGTACAGACAGTAATCTACAGGAAACGTCACAGAATAACTACTCTGCAGAATATTTTGGCAAAGATAACGACAATGATGAATGTGGTACCAATATTGCACTTGGTGATATTTCCCACGACGAACAGAACAGAGAGTCAAATATCCCACAGGGAGATGTCGACAGTAGTTTGAAAGACAATTCAACGGAAAAGAGCAAGCCCACTACACCAACAGCACATGGAGATGACGATAAGAAAAAGCAAGCTGATTTCATGGATATAAATAGCGACAAACGGTCGACAAGCGATTTACAGGAAGAAAATGAACAGGGCCCTTCACAAAGTAATCCAGCAGGAAATGATTTAGGCGACCATCATGATGAAAAAGAACAAGTTAAAGCTGATAATGATACTGGCCAAAGCGTACAGCCAAATATTTCACAGAGAGATGTCAAAAGTGATTTAAAACAAAGCTTGGATGAAGATTCGGAGAACTATTCCCTTACAAAACAAAGCAAGAACAACAATGAAACTGAGAGTAAAGATGGCGAGGGACATACAGAAAACGATCATGACACGACGATGACCGCTAATGACGATGGGGAATTGGATGGTGCTAACAGTTCTGATGAAGAAATGTCGTCAGAAAGCGACAAAAATAAGAATGCGACAGAAAGTCATAATGTAACAACAACTGAGAATTCAGGATTCGAGCGTGAAGATAAACCAGATGAGAATGAAGAACACCAAATCGCTTTGAACGATGGGGAATTAGGTGGTCCTAACGTTTGTAATGAAAAAATACTATTCGAAGATAATGTTAAAAATGTACAAGAAAGTCCTAATATGACCAAAGATGTGGAAGATCAAGATCACAGTGCCATATCAAATACTTCAAAACCAGCGGACGGCCCTAATGAGACACAAGTTGAAAGCATGGAGGTCGGTTTTTCTTCAGATGGAGCGACAGATGTTGTTCAAGATCTTAGTGAGGAAGAGAATATACAGGATCAAAAACAGAATGACATAATGACATCAAAACAAGAGGGTGAACCTGATGGTACAAAAGTTGAAATCATGGAAGTCGACAACGAGCGTTTGTCCTCAGAAAGCAGGGAGACAAACGTTGATCAAGATGCTTTAGAGAAGGACTCAGCATTGCCACGCTTCGATGATGAAGAAATAAAAAATGTTGACACAAGCGTTTATGAATCAACTGGTTGTGCACAATTTAAGTCCCAGATACTACTGCCAAGAAACACAGAAAAAGAAGATCGATGTGTGAAAAAAGATGGAGGGGAAATTTCGAAAGAAGAGATAAAAGGGAGTGGAGCAATACAGAGTTTTTCGGAAGAAACAGCAAAACCTGAAGGTGATACTAGCAAGATTGATAACTCTGAAAATCTGTTGGCAACCGAGAGAACGGATGAACGTACTGAGGGTTCAGGACAACAGAATGAACAGCCAATAGAAAATTCAGATAATCAGCCAAAATCGCCTGACATGTGGAATGAAATAGACGACATATTCACGACTATCAATAAAGATTTACAAGGCAACGATGACAGTGAAAGTAAGTCGATGAATGGACAGGCTAATAATAAACCGAAGGATAAGACAGCGATGCTAAACATGGCAAGTGAAAGTACGGATGATTCAAATACAAACCAAGAATTAGAAAATCCAGTGAAGGACAATGTAGCAGATTTAGAAACACAAGACGATGATGAGAATGATTGTAAAATCATGGATGGACAGATTGATAAACTGAATAAGATATCGCTTCCGAATACAGCAGGTAAAGGGATTGGAGTAAATTTAAAAGCACAAGTCGATGACGAGAATAAAAATATGACCACAGCAAAAGACGGAGAGACTGAGAATAAATTGAATAACATACCGGTGCAAGACGAAGTACAAGAAAGGATCGCAGAGTGCAAAAACAGTCAGCCGATGCACGGAAAACCTTCAGACAAGAATAGAAACAGCAAACAAAGTCGTTCCATTTATGACCCTATTCCACATGAACAAGAATTCATAAACAACGATAAAAAGGACAAGGAAGATACGAAGATTGGAACAGAAGCCACGGATCACACCTTTAAAGAACAAGAAACAGAGTTCGAACGGAAGGAATGGCATAATAACAGTAAACAAGATCTGTTGGAGAATGAATCCAAAGACGCGACCAAGAAAGAGTTTGATGAGCAGATAAAACCATTTGAAAGTATTGCTTCGGAAAATGACAAGAACAGAGAGATCGTTAATGAAAATCGGTTAAGTAAGAACGGTTCTAATGTCTCTGAAATTATTGTAGACCAAAATAAAGTGGACAGTGAGGTCACCCAGAAGCAACAAAAAGAAATAGAGCAAATTGAAACTCTTCCAAATGAAGGGCAAATTGAACCCGAAAATAAAGGAGACAAAAGTATTGAAGTTCAAGAGGAAATAGAAATTGAAAATACAGGAAAAAAGAAAGGAGAAGAAAGCACGAAATCGGAAGAGAAGAATAAGGCGACGGGGAAAAGTGAGAAATCTAAAGTAGTGGAAAGTAACGATAGCGAAACTGAAAACAACAGAGAAAACGTGGTCGAGAAAAAGAAATGGTTTTCCGTAAAGAAATTGAAATTTGGGAATTCCAAAAACAAGAAAAAAGACATGACAACTTCAGAATTAACAGGAAATGAGGACAGTGATGGAAAGAAACAGAAAGGAAAGGGAAAATCGAAAGAGAAGAAAAGAAGTATTGAAGTTCAAGAAGAAGTACAAAATCCAGGGAAAAAGACAGGAAAAGAAAACAAGAAATCGAAAAATAAGGCGACGGGGAAAAGTGAGAAATCTAAAACGACCAATGAAAGTATTGATGCCATAAAAGTAGTGGAAAGTAACGATGGCGGAACTGAAAACAACAGAGAAAACGTGGTCGAGAAAAAGAAATGGTATTCCAGGAAGACATTGAAATCTGGGAAATCCAAAAACAAGAAAGAAGACATGCCAACTTCAGAATTAACAGGAAATGAAGACAGTGATGGAAAGAAACAGAAAGGACAGGGGAAATCGAAAAAGAAGAATAGAAGTATTGAAGTTCAAGAAGAAGTACAAATTGAAGTTGAAAACACAGGAAAAAAGAAAGGAAAAGAAAGCAAGAAATCGAAAAATAAGAATCAGGCGACGGGGAAAAGTGAGAAATCTAAAGTAGTGGAAAGTAACGATAGCGGAACTGAAAACAACAGAGAAAACGTGGTCGAGAAAAAGAAATGGTTTTCCAGCGGGAAATCTAGGAAATCCAAAAACAAGAAAGAAGACATGCCAACTTCAGAATTAACAGGAAATGAAGACAGTGATGGAAAGAAACAGAAAGGACAGGGGAAATCGAAAAAGAAGAATAGAAGTATTGAAGTTCAAGAAGAAGTACAAATTGAAGTTGAAAACACAGGAAAAAAGAAAGGAAAAGAAAGCAAGAAATCGAAAAATAAGAATCAGGCGACGGGGAAAAGTGAGAAATCTAAAGTAGTGGAAAGTAACGATAGCGGAACTGAAAACAACAGAGAAAACGTGGTCGAGAAAAAGAAATGGTTTTCCAGCGGGAAATCTAGGAAATCCAAAAACAAGAAAGAAGACATGCCAACTTCAGAATTAACAGGAAATGAAGACAGTGATGGAAAGAAACAGAAAGGACAGGGGAAATCGAAAAAGAAGAATAGAAGTATTGAAGTTCAAGAAGAAGTACAAATTGAAGTTGAAAACACAGGAAAAAAGAAAGGAAAAGAAAGCAAGAAATCGAAAAATAAGAATCAGGCGACGGGGAAAAGTGAGAAATCTAAAGTAGTGGAAAGTAACGATAGCGGAACTGAAAACAACAGAGAAAACGTGGTCGAGAAAAAGAAATGGTTTTCCAGCGGGAAATCTAGGAAATCCAAAAACAAGAAAGAAGACATGCCAACTTCAGAATTAACAGGAAATGAAGACAGTGATGGAAAGAAACAGAAAGGACAGGGGAAATCGAAAAAGAAGAAAAGAAGTATTGAAGTTCAAGAAGAAGTACAAATTAAAGTTGAAAATCCAGGGGCAAAAGGAAAAGAAAGCAAGAAATCAAAAAAGAAAAGCAAAGGTGTTCAAGGTTAGATAGTGCAGATGAACTAAAATATTCTTTGGTTTACATAAGCATAAAATTAACTCCATAACTTAATAGACGTTTCAAAGGGAACGATAGGATTGGAAGTAAATCATTGACGAACTATATGTAGAATATCAGTACGCTGGTGAATGAATATTAAATCCACTAAATCTTTGGACCAACATATTACTCATATCATATCAATTGCTAACATATTTTAATGAAACAAAATTATGTATTGCTTAAAATTTTGGAGTATATGATTATACGATGAGGATAGAATACAAATGACTCATAGCTAACTGCAAAATGGCAGCTGATGATCAGCGCATCATTCTGTATGCATTGCATATAATCACAAGTTGAGCAGATATATTAACTACTTGTGTTGGAAGTACTGTTTAATAAACGAGTGGGAGTGTTTTATCACATATAAAACACGACGCGTAGCGGAGTGTTTTATATGTGATAAAACACGAACTACGAGTTTATTAAACAGCTTCACAAACGTCTCAGTTAGATCACGGCATTGGCGAAATAATTTTCCAAAATAACTTTGTATTAGCTGAGAAAATACGAGTTGAAATTTGAAGCGTGTTTTATCACATATAAAGACACGCCACGCTTATGATTTCTCTTTGTGTTTTCCTCATGAATTATTAATGAGTTTTTGGATTAATTTTAAAAACCATTTTTCAAACTGGTGTTCAGTTTGAAGCTATTCTAATATATCCAGGTAATTTTAATTATAATTCTGATAGTATCGAATTAATGTAATAACTAATAACGTAAGCTTTTATTAAAATGTTTAACGAATGTAACAAATATAGAAATGACGTAAAGTGTATGAATACTTCAATTTCATGAGTCAACCTTTTTCAACCAGAATTAGGCCTGTCAATACTCGAAGTGCTTTGTTGAGCGGAGAATGCTTCGATTAACTGCAACAATGGTCATTCTGACTATTTTGAATATAACTAGCATTTGATAAAAAAAAACGATGCTTAACCTATGGCGCTTATTCGAGGAAGACGTTGATCAGATGGCGGCGTTTATTCGTTTCAGACGTATATTTCAGTACGTGTGGTGTAAGTTCGTGTCAATGATATCATAATGTAAACAAAACACGGAGCAAAGGTAATAAAGCATGTTAAGAGAATTTTTTGTATGGTTTACTTTAATTTTTGATACGATACGAAAACTTCAAATCGCAAATCAGCTAAGTAGCTAATCAATGCTTCAATTTTAATGCAAAAATTGACCTAACTTCGAACAGCTAACAATTGACCTCAAAATAAGACTTAAAGCCATCAATGTAGTTTAGCTACAAAATGCATTACTCATCACAGAATGTTAAGAGTATATTGCCTTCCTGACGCAACAAGTCGCGCGCGTTTGTTATTGCCATGCAGTACAGAGTTAGTAACAGAGTGGGTAACAGGTGCATAAACCTCAGTCACTTCAAGTGAATTCCAGGGGTGACGTACATGAGTAGTTGATTGTATCGCAGCCAGTGAGCTTCATAAAAATCTGGAGTGAGAACTCGAGTCCAAAAGGTGAAACTTCGTGCTAACCGCGCAGAAAAAAAAAACAATAGAAAGGGACTGGAACGTTCAATAGCCCCTTCAATTTCCGCCATCTTGGCAAGGATTGTGCTAAAATTTCGTATTTTGGGGAATAACACTGTGGTTTTATGAACTGATAACTTGGATAGCGATACTGGAAAAATTAGCTGGAAAAAATGGTCTAAAAGCTGTTTATGACCTTCAGAGCCATTGGAAGCCAATGGCAGCCATCTTGGTTTCACTTTTCTCATAGACCGAATGACTGAAGTTCTTGCTAGGGACGTGCTGGGGTCTTGAAAAGGACGACGAATGAGCAACGTCTGATGGGGCCCAGACCCAGTGAAAGATGGATCAATATTCGGGTGGGGCGTATTACTGATCAAACATGAAACATTTCCGTCAAAATCAAAATTAAAATCTATATTTTTTATCTTTTCCAATGTTTTAATTTTAGGGGCCCATAACAAGTTCTCGTCGGCTCTTCCCTAGCCAGCAAGTCCCTGGTTCTTGCTCCAGATATAAAGAGAGCTCACTGATCGCAGCAGTCTTTTCCTCAACCACTTATCTCAATGCGTCACTGATATATGCCAAAATAATTCATAGTTCTTTGACATTATGATTATGCATGAGTTCTGAGAAAACGATTTCCTAGTATAAATGTGTATAACAATGCTTAAAATTGAAAGTAGATATCAGAAATCTCAAACAATAAAATTGACGCAACTGAATAAAATATATTTGGGCATTGGAAAAGTGAAGATAAAATGCAAAGTAAATTTGATCGAAATGAGTTTCAAAGTGTATATCAACCAAGGCGAATGGGACCAGATCTGTGCCTGGGTTTTAAAACATAAAGATATTCAAACTGGTGGAGATCTGTTCGGATTATGGCTCGATGAACAAACTGCTGTTGTTCAGTTTGTGCTTGGTCCTGGCAATGAATGTAGTAGGACTACCATATCATTCTTTCAGGTAAATTGTTAATATAACCGCTGTACAATTATATGGAATAGTCTACAATTACGAATCCTTCAAAACTTAGAATTTACCTATGCAAAATTCTTACTGTGATCACAGAAACTTTGATAGTGTTGATCCGGCTTATTCCCTCATGCATGGTTATACAAAGCATCGATTCCTCTATATAGTTCATGCTATGTCTTATTATGCCGTATTTATACAAAGATGAACTACGTACGCAAGTTCGTCTGTGAACTATGCAGAATTTGCAGAGTCCATGCAGAGATGAAATATCAGACGAACTACCATATATCTTTTCTTTATAGCTATTTAAAGTTCGAGAAGACGGATAACCCGTCTCTTGTGTACTGTATGAAATGGGTTTTTTTTGAGGAAATGTTTGAGGAAACTGAGTAAGTGTTAACACACGAGTCAATTTCTCTCAAACATTTCTTACAAATCCTTCAAAACCTAGAATTTACCCGTGCAAAATTCCTACTGTGATCACAGAAACTTTGATAGTGTAAACCAGCCTTTAGTTAGTGAATTTTCACATCCGCAAACCAAGTTAAGGACTATTGCCAGTGAAGGTCGCACTATTCCAGCTAGTTGTCTTGTGTTTACATAACAGAGGCATGATGTGTGTCTAGTGTAAATGATATCAGGAGCTATTTAAAAAAATAATTTTAGTTACCAAGTATTTGTTATTTATTTATTTATTACAGGTAAACTACGTGAAGCTTTCCTCTTTCGAGTTCCTAACTTGATTGCAATTTTCCGCATTACCTTTGCAAATTTGAAAAACTCCCTTGCGGGAATTCGCAGCGCTGTTAAGAGCCAAATAAATTTTCCTCAGTTCCTGTTAGAAGTTCTTAACTTCCTGTTACAACTTCATAACTTCCTGTTCTGTTGTGTGCGTTGCAATTGGCTAACAAAAATAATCCACCAATGACAACGCTCAGAACAGAACAGGAAGTCAGGAAATTAGAACAGGAAGTTAGGAAAATTTGAAAGGAACTTTCTTTGAGTTGGAATATTGCAACGGCCGACAGGAAAATTGCAAATTCCCTCAAGGGATTTGCAAAGAGTTTTTCAAATTTGCAAAGCTAATTATGAAAATTCCAAATCAGTTAGGAACTCAAAAGAGGAACGCTTTACGTAGTTTACCTGTAAACCCCACACTTGTGATTTTCGTTTCCTGAAGTACGTGAATGAGTTAGGAATATTTAGATGAGGGTATACAGATACTCAGAGCATTCAACTTATTTGCTCGTATTCACAACCATCAGAAGAAAATCGCAATAAAAATCGCAGCAAAACGTGCCATTAAGTTTTTATTGCCTACTTCCAGGATGTGGACTATCTACGTGAAGCTGGAACGTACTTGACCAAACATCATGGCCTTTGCAATGTGGGCCAGTGGCACTCTCATCATAAAATAAACCTCTTCAAACCAAGTGTGGGAGATGAGAATACTGTATGGAGCAATATGCCCAACTTGGGATTGGATAGATATATTGTCTTTATTGCAAATATACCTAACCAAGTGACAATTAACAGCTTTTTGTTTCAAGTCAAGGAGGGCCAGGAACTTCCTGTTAAACATGGGAAATTTAAAGTTCTACATGGAAACAGTCCTTTGCGTCTAAATGAAAAGGTTTTGCAAAATGTCCATAGCGGGGCAGAGAGCTTTAATCAGATAACCAGGTTTGAAAAAGAAATGAAGTATATACGAAACGAGGACGCGATAGAAAATCTCGATATTTCCAATGAAAATGAAACCAGCAGCTACACACTAGGAAATAGAGTGCAACACGTTACAAGTGTTCCCACTGAAGAACAGAAACATACGAATCGTACGACTGGTAAAAAGACAACAAGTTACGCTGGAACTGTTCAAAACACAAGCAAAACAATAAGACACGAGATACATCCGCAGCATGTCCCAACGACAACGCCTTCACGTGACAACGAAGAACAGTTACGCAACACTGCCGAACGGAACACACCATTGAGCGGGCAGCAAAAGGAAAAGAAGCCGGTCGTTAGGGTGACAAGCTCTGAAATACCATATGAAAAAAGAACAGTCACACTAGAAAGAAAAAATGACCAAAAACAAAATTTGGGTGGTGCAGTTCCAAGTGATGACAACCAAGGCAATGCTCATCATGGTAACACCGACTTTGGCAGGGGTAGCATGACTTCAACTACCCCTCGAACCGACCAACAATTTCGCAGTGATGCGAATAAAGCTTTTAACTCTGCAGAATCGAACTACGAGCTAAACACGAGAGCAACACAGACGGGACACAATCCTGCAACACGTAACAAATTTGAAACAAGAAAAAGATACGTTGCAAGACAAGTAACACCTATAGATCAAGTTAACAAACAAGATATTTCAAATCAACCAGGCTGGGTATCGCTGGACCAACAAAAAAACTTGGATCAAGTCAGCCATGGAACCACAAAAGCGACGTCTGCCGGCCAGAAACGTGCACAAAGAACGGTTACATATAATGGTGGCCACCAGACAGCAATCATACATCAACTTGATGTCCGTGGAGTCAGCTATTATGATAATGTTGAAAAGACAGAGCCAGCAGCAACACCTATGGATATAGACGAAACTGAAACCACTATTACAGGGCATGACGTAAACAGGTCAGATACGCCTTCAGGAACAATAGAAAACATTGCAAGTAATGATCAGGTTGCTGACTCGGATGATGATGAGATGCGTCTATGTGGACTGTTTAAAAATAGGAAAATAAACGGCAGTGATAAGTGATAAACGTTTGCAAATATAATGAAGGGCAATGGGCTCTTTACGTAATACTTAGTACAATAATAGCGTATGAAGTCACGATTCAGTATATAAGAATGTTATGTTTGTCTTTTCATTGTTTTCAAACTGTTAGTGTTCGCCATGGCATACAGTCACTCATTGGTTTGACATATTTCCATTTACACTTGCAATTTCTGCTGCAATTTTCGTCTTCTGATGGATGTGAACGAGTGATGAGTTATGTCTCACTGATCTACCCTCATCTGAACATTACTCGGAACATTCATAACTTAATTGCTCGTTCACATGCATCAAAACAAGAAATTCGCACTAGAAAAAATTGCAAGTGTACACGGGCCTTAAGAACTTTATGCAAAGGGACAATGAATTTGAATTATTTCTTTTAGATGTATCTGTTTAAGTACTATATTTAAAGCACGAGTAGGAGTGTTTTATCACATATAAAACACGACGCGTAGTGGAGTGTTTTATATGTGATAAAACACGACTATAAGTGCTTTAAATGGCTTCAAAAACGACTCATCTTATACGAGTTCATTGGCGAAGTAATTTTTAAAATAAACTTTGTCTAAACCGAGAAAATCAAAGCTAAAGTTTATGTAAATTAACACGATTTTTTATCACATATAAAACCACGACACGCTTATGATTTTTCTTTGTGTTTTCCTCCTGAATTATTAATGAGTTTTTGAACTATTATTCGGCTTGGCTCTGGAAAAATAATTTGACATTTTTTCTAAAGTATCATATAATATATCAATGTATGATAATTCTCTATATTACATGTTTTATTAAGTCTTTCAATAAAAAAGTAAGGTCTAAGGAGTAAATTTCACAACTTGAATACTAAATTCTTTTTTCGCTTTCTTCATTTGAAGAGTTCAATTATACAGTAAACTATTTTTGCAAAGTAAGTTATTATTGAATGCACCGCGTTTCCGGTCGTAATTACTGGCCAATATGCATCCCCCAAATATTTATGAAGTGGGCGACTTTCCATACTATTTGATTTTATTCATAGGTCGAATTTAATTCAGACGAATTTAATTCGTTATTAAATTCGTCAATTGGTCGACATGGTTTCGTTTCAAACGATGAATTTAATTCAGATGAATTCTATAGCGATCATGGATTACCCAGAAATAAAAACTACGTAATCAGAAAGAGAGAAATAGACTTTAACATAATTGATGCATTTAATTCGATACGACGATAAGACGTCGTATGAAACGAAGACGCGCTACAGACGTTGTATCCATCTAACCATGACGGATAAAACGTCTTGGACGAATTTAGTTCGTTTCATACGATGCAAAACAGACCTGTTCGCGGCAGTCTTTACTCCAACCACTGATCTCAATGCGTCACTGATATGTGCCAAAATAATTCATAGTACGTTATACCGGTAATAAATAGAAGATAAAAATGACCTTTGACATTATGATTATGCATGAGTTCTGGGAAAATGATTTCCTAGTATAAATGCGTATAACAATGCTTCAAATTGAAAGTAGATAACAGAAATCTCAAACAACAAAATTCACGCAACTGAATAAAATATATTTGGTTTAATTGGTTAAATGCATGAGCTATTGTTGGGCATTGGAGAAGTGAAGAAGAAGATTAAATGTCAAAGTAAATTTGGTCGAAATGAGTTTCAAAGTGTATATCAACCAAGGCGAATGGGCCCAGATCTGTGCTTGGGTTTTAAAGCACAAGAAGATTGAAACTGGTGGAGATCTGTTCGGATTATGGCTCGATGAACAAACTGCTGTTGTTCAGTTTGTGCTTGGTCCTGGCGAAAAATGTGAGAGGACTACCACATCATTCTTTCAGGTAAAATTGTTAATATAACCGCTGTACAACAATATGGAATAGTCTACAATTACACTTGAAAATAGCCCGATTTCATCATACGCTAGTTTATCCGTCTTCTCGAACTTAGCAATATAAAGAAAAGATATACAGTAGTTCGTCTGATATTTCATCTCTGCAAATTCTGCATAGTTCACAGACGAACTTGCGGCGTATACGCAGTCCATCTTTAGGGATGATCAATGTATACGTGTACTGTATAAATACGGCATATTAAGACACATAGTACGAACTATAAAGAGGAATCGATGCTTTGTAACCATGCATAGGCTGATAGGCATAAGCCGGGTCTACACTATCAACGTTTCTGTGTAAGGACGAATTTTGCATAGGGAAATTCAACGTTCTGAAGGATTCGTAAGAAATGTTTGAGGAAACTGAGTAAGTGTTAACACACCGAGTCAGTTCTCTCAAACATATCTTACAAATCCTTCAAAACGTTGAATCTACAGATGCAAAATTCCTACTGTGATCACAGAAACTTTGATAGTGTAAACCAGGCTTTAGTTAGTGAATTTTCACAACCGCAAACCAAGATAGAATGGTTTGTTTAAGGACTATTGCCAGTGAAGATCGCGCTATTTCAGCTATTTTGTCTTGTGTTGACACAACAAAGGCATGATGCGTCTTGGCTGATGATCCGTGTCCAGTGTAAATGAAATCAAGACCTATTTATTTAAAAAAAGTTAGTCATCAGGTATTTCTTATTTATTTTAACCCATGCCAATATACTGTACTGTTCATTGAAGTTTTTATTGACCCACTTACAGGATGTGGACTATCTACACGAAGCTGGAACGTACTTGACTAAACACCATGGCATTTGCAATGTAGGCCAGTGGCACTCGCATCATAAAATAAACCTCTTCAAACCAAGTGTGGGAGATGAGAATACTATATGGAGCAATATGCCCAACTTGGGATTGGATAGATATATTGTCTTTATTGCAAATATAGCTAACGAAGTGACAATTAACTGTTTTTGTTTCAAATAAAAAAGGGAAAGCAACTTCCGGTTAAACATGGAGAATTTGAATTTCTTGATGGGAACAGTCCTCTGCGTCTGAACGAAAAAGTTTTGCAAAATGTCCATAGCGGGGCAGAGCCAGGGAGCTTCAATCAGATAACCAGGTTTGGAAAGGAAAAGAAGTATATACGAAACGAAGAGGCGATAGAAAATCTCGATATTTCCAATGAAAATGAAACAAGCAGTTACACACTAGGAAATAGAGTGCAGCACGTTACAAGTGTTCCCAGTGAAGAACAGAAACATACGAATCGTACGGCTGGTAAAAAGACATTTGAAAACAATACCACAAGTAACGTTGGCACTGTTCAAAACACAAGCCAGCCAATAAGACACGAGAGACATTTTAATCCACAGCATGTCCAGACGGCAACGCCTTCACGTGACAACGAAGGACAGTTAAGCAACACTGCCGAACGTTCCACGCAATTGAGCGGACAGCAAAAGAACGCGGTCGTTAGGGTGACAAGCTCTGAAACACCAATACTAGAAACAACAAATAACCAAAAATCTAATTTGGTTCGTGCAGTTCCGCCTAATTTTAACAATTGGAAACACACCAACTTTGGCAGGGGTAGCATGACTTCAACTACCCATGGAACCGATCAAGAATATCGCAGTGATGCGAATAGAGCTTTTAACTCGGCAGAATCGAACTTGAGAGCAAAACAGACGGGACACAATCCTGCAACAGGTAACACATTTGAAACAGAAAAAATATGCGTTGCAAGACAAGTAACAGCCATAAATCAAGTTAACAAACAAGATATTTCAAATCAACAAGGCCTATTATCGCTGGATCAACAAAAAACCTTGGATCAAGTCAGCCATGGAACCACGAAAGCGACGTATGCCAGCCAGAAATGTGCACACACAACGGTTACATATGATGGTGGTCACCAGACAGTAGTCATACATCAACCTGGTGCATATGCCCGTAGAGACAGTGATTATGATAATGTTGAAAAGACAGAGCCAACAGCGACACCTATGGATATAGACAAAACTCAAACCACTATCACAGGGCATGACGTAAAGAGACCAGATACGCCTTCAGGAACAATACAAAACATTGCAAGTAATGATCAGGTTGCTGACTCGGATGGTGATGAGATGATGTGTCTATGTGGACTGTTTAAAAAGATGAAAATAAGTGACAATGATAAGTGATAAACGTTTGCAAATATAATCAAGGATAATGGGCTCTTTACGTAATACTTAGTACAACAATTTCAGAACCATCCTCAAGAGATACGAAAAACTAGTTTAATATTAATCTGACACTGCAATCGACCAACGAAAAATTCGTTGGCTCGAGCGGGATTTGAACTCGCATCTTCGGGTATCTAGACCGCCGCTCTACCTATTGAGCTATCGAGTCAACAGGGATTGGTAGCGAGTCTTATCCAATTTAAGTGCACGAAATATTTTCGTGACGACTTAACGCTTGTCTTTGAGGACGCGCAGTGTTTCAATTCTATTTCAGAACCATCCCCAGAGATAGGAAA